GTTATTATGTTAGTCATACTTAATGCTGTGGACATTGTTAATGTTATGTTTGAATGAAGTACTAGACTCAAGATCTAACATTGTTAATTATACCATTATATTTATTTGTACAGGAATTTCCTTAGACAAATAAAATAAACTATCTATCTATCTATCTATCTATGTATAATACAACGTTCAAGAATATTGCTTCAATAATATTCACCGTGTAAGGTGGGCTTTAGAGTTATTTTTTTTCTTATGGTAATTTGATAACAAATTAAGATAGGATTCCATCCCATAAACAGCACAAGATGTAGGTTAAAGCATTTCTGAGTTGAGGATTTCTGCATTGAGTGTATGTTTAAACTATTTTATTCATATTTTTGGTTCATCGTGAATTTAATGGCTACTCAGTTACTCACACGAGGCTAATTGGATAGAGTATGGTTTTTGTTTTAATAATTTAAAATAATGTTAATGCAATGAATAAAGAATTAAATATGTAGTTGAGGTTTTTGAATTAAAGTCATCAAAATATATATTTAGCAAGAATTCATAAACCAACTTACCAATATCTGTTAAAGTTCTGTAGTTTGATATTTCTTCCAAAAAAACTGAAATAACAAGATATAGCAATAACATTTTAATAACTTCTGTTATTATACTTGGTATTTGAAAATAAAAAAATACTGAATTAACAGGTCTGTTCATTTTCTTTTATTTTAAAATACAACAGGACTAACCCAAGCCATATTGGCCTATACTTGTTTATAATTTAATTGATTAAAAAAGCCAGAAGATAAAACTAACTTTTATAATATCCCATAAATTATTACTTACGTCAAGCAAAGAGATATGATAATGGTTACTATTTAAATTTATTACAAACCAGTATCTTTAAAAATGTTCATCAATGACTTCTCTTTAAATTAGCTTCACACTTAACTTAAAATTACTTATTATAGACAAATATTTAACTTATAAACAATATGATTTCCATCTGAAACACATTTATTTTTTTATAAATATAAACAATTGACCTGGAAACTAAATTTAAAAAAATAGCTCCATCATGTGTTGACTAAAAATATGAAAATTTATCAGCAGCTATTTTGTTAATACACTTTCTCTGAAATTAAAATGTTACAGCTCCTAAAATTATATCTATCTTTGCTTATCTTTTTTTTTTTTTAATTTATTAAATGAAATTTGTAAAATATTCAATATATTTCAATATTCTTCTTGCTTATGTTCATTTCATTACTAGCCAATAGTAACAACTCTGTAGAGAGAAACACTTTATTTTCATAAAATATAAAATATAAAGGATTGCTGCCCAATTATATTGGGTTGCTATACATACAATATACTCTTCTATCCTTAGGACAATATATGAACTTATATATAAATATACAGAAGTATTAGTTAACATTAGTAAAATAGATATATATATATATATATATATATATATATATATATATATATATATATATATATATATATATATATATATATATATATATATATACATTTTTATTATTTTTTTTCCATTTATTTATTTTTTTTTTTTAACATTTAGTTTCCCTTTTTCTCACTTCTCTCTCTTTATCTCTATTGTTTTAAGTTATTCATTAAATAAATATATAAATTAAAACAACACAAATCTTGTACACATCTTGAATATTTAGTCAGCAAATTATTTACATTCTAACAACAGAAATATTACCTCCCTCCTCCCTCTGACTATGTTTACTTACCTTTTGCTATCTGAAAAAGCACATCAGGGAAATTTTCCCCCGACTCTTTTACTTACCTACCAAAGTGTAAATACTTGAATACCTTCAGTGCTCGAAACATTGTTAGTAAGAGAAAATATAACATTTTTTATAAATTGATTATATACATTATTTTTAGTTTGTATAACTTTTTACATATTTCATCAATCACTATATTTTTTTATTATTAACTATTATCTGTCATATAATATTCTCTGATTTTATTTAAAAATTTTCATCCCTGATGATGACCCATATATTTGGGTTAAAACGTCGGCACTAATAAAAACTTTACGACTGTGTTCTGAATATTTATCACCCATAATGTTTCTTTACCTTTAACATACATTAATTAATTAATATATTAAAAAATGTGGTTTATCTACCTAGACTTTGAAAACTTATAACTTTTCAACTGTGAAAGGTATTGCTAAACTGTCACAAGCTCGTGATTCTCAAATGTTCTAGAAATCAAGGAATAGCGAAGAGGAAGAAACTCAGTAGTGAGTAGGACTGAGTGCACCAATGTGCTAGGTGTAAGAGTAGGAAATGAATGACCATATCGGTGTGCTCGTTGTGGCAAATGAGTTAATATGAAGTAAGAACAACTTGAAAAGTAGAAAAATATTCATTATTTATTTATTTACTTTTTTTTCATATTTCCATCCACATCTGTCATAAGTTTGACTATAAGCAGATGTGCTGAAACTAATAAGAAAATTGAGATTTTAGGCATGAGGAAAAAATAGTACCCAGCTGCACTTCTTTCGGGTCTTGGTTTATTTCCTTAATTCAGGAAAGGAGATCTCTCATCCAGCTTCTCTTTAGTCCTCTCCTGTTGAGCATTTCAGCTGTGGCCATGTCGTTAATAAGTCCGTTGTGGTATCTGAGTAGTTTAAGATGAAATCTGGAGTAGAGATCACGTATGTGTTGGTCGATAGTTGGTTGTCGTAAGTCGTTATGTAAAGTTTTGTTGTTTACGTACCAAGGAGCTCTTGTTATAAGTCATAAAATTTTGGATTGAAATGACTGTAGTTTTTGTAAGTGCGTCTTTTTTGCTGGACCGTAAATCTGAGAGACGTATGTCCAGATGGGTTTGAGTATCATCCTTCTGTCAAATATTAACCCGAGGTAAAGTATAGTGTCCGTCTGGGGAATTTGGTTGTCGCCAATATAATAAACTGGTGGGCATGTGTCTCGTCGAAGTGTCATTGTTTATTTGACTTAAATGAAATTACTATTTATTTTTGTACATATATTTTTCAATAAATAAAATTTATCTTACATAAATCGTAATACATAAATAAACATATAATTTAATATCATTTTTAGATTAATTATTATTATTATATCAAATATTAACCTACATTTCTTAATGGAAAATAGAGACATAATTGTTTTGCACTTATTGTTTGAATTGTTTTTTTGTTTTTTTTATATATAATATTTCACAATAGTCCAGGCATTGTTAGATAAAGAGAAAATATCTTAAAAACGTTGAATACAATACAGCCACAAAATTGAAAATTATAAACTATCAAGATGAAGTGAGATAAGAAGTAATTAATGATAACTCATCAGAATAATTTATGGTAATTTGTTGAATGTTCTACATATCACAGGAAATCACCAGGACTCAGTAATTTTTAATTTTTAACAGTGCTTATTGTTTATTGTTGAAGAACTCATCAGATTTAAAAGATAAATACATGTGATAATAAATAATAAATTATAGAATCAACAAACCTGGACGACAATAATATAATCTAAATAAAATATAATAATAAATACCTGAATGATAAATAACAAATATGGGATGAAGTACTAAAGTTACTAACCAAGTTTACAAAGAAAGAGTAAAGGGAGGGGGGAGAGAATTTAACAGATTTTCTAAGACTTTGAAGGATCCCTTTACTCTTCTTCTACCCAAATATCAGTCTCATAAGACCTCCAGCAGTGTAAATTTGGTTTACAATTTTAGTATTTTATCCTGTACTATATACTCACTTATATAGTTATTCACTATTCATGTATTCACTCCTCCCATTCTCTGTATTATTTACTACTATAGTCCGTGGTACAGACCCCTTTTTATCGAATTATTAACATCCGGCTGAAACTTCGTAAATCGTAACCTACAACTATTTTATTTAAGAAAAATTTTGGAATTGGAGCATTTTCTATCTGAAGGGGGCAAACTTTGATTATTTAATTAGATACTAAAAACTCGTAAATACACATTTGCTTTCTACTTGGAACGTAAAATAATTTATTGCCACATCGAAAAAAAATGTGGCATTAAAAAATATTGAGCCGTTTGGCGTGACCTACACCCCCAAATTTTCAAAATAAGGAGGTTATATAGGCCCAATATTTTTGTAGACCACCCTTTTTATCGATTTCGTGATCAATTTATCTTACGATCCAAATAGAAAGCAAATGAGTATTTATAAGTTTTTAGTACCTAATTAAATAGATAAAGTTTGCCCCCCTTCAGATTGAAAACGCCCCCAATTCCAAGAGTTTTTGTAAATAAAATAGTTGTAGGTTACGATGAGATGAAACTATTTACGAAGTTTCAGGCGAATGTTTATAATTCGATAAAAAGGAGTCTGTATCATGGACTATACCTTCTTGATAATAGCTATAATAATAGCTGATTATTACTATTCATCATGATCTATTGTTTAGATTTCAATTCTTAGTATATTCAGCTTTGCTGGTTCTATATCTATTACTACTTATATATGCCCTATGTCTCTTATACTTTTTCTTATTTATTTATTAGCCCTTATTTATTTATTTTTTTACCCCTTATATTATAGAGTCAAAAAATAGCAACAAAGACAAAAAAAAAAAAAAAAAAAAAAAATCACTGAATTCTTATTATTTATCATCTATAATAAGTTATCAGATTTACAACTAATTTTTACATCTAATAAAAAGGAGAAATCACATAAAAGTTTATAATAATATTTACACACTCAATAGCACTCAAGGATACACACTTCTGGTAAGCAATTCCCTTATGATAAAATTTATTTAATATAAAGATATAAAATAAGTTGTATCAATAGATCCTTAGTGATTTTTAGGTGGGAGACCAAGGAGTCAATATTCTAGAGCATTTGACCTCGACAGTATTTCAACTAGTATTAATAATTTACAAGTTGTTACCATTTCTTATCAATACTAAAGAATGATGTCAAATTAAATTGAAAAAATTTAAATAAATAAAAAAATAGAAGAACGAAACCATATTCAAAATTTCCTTTAAAAATTTCAAATGTTATTGAAATGTACGATAGTCTTCAAGCCTCGGTTTCTAACACTAAAATATTTTCAGCTGTTGCAAGTTGAATAAGGAACGTCATCATTGCAGGATTGACATCATTTTCTTTCAATCTAGAAATATAGAGAACTTCTCTTCCATCATCGCGAGTTGAAGTCATGCTCCTAGAACATTTTTCATTAGTTTATAAATAACATAAGAATGATCAAAACCATACATAAATACATCAATATTGTTCAGGGATCAACCCCTGAAAAACAAAAAAACAAAACAACAATTGTACAACTCAGAACTTCACCACCATTTTTATGGCCTCTATTTTGCTGCAAGCCATTCCTGAAGAGTTAATCTGTTCATTTGGTGAAGTGTGCACACAGTAAGGTACTCTCTTAAGAAATCACCAGGAAAGAAAATACGAGTTGCTAAACTTCAAGAGAACAGCTTGGTGGAGGAAGTATGGGGGAAAAGAAGAGGTGGCTAAAATCATGAAGCTCAATTTCAGACAGCAAGTCAGTCCAAATTGACAATTCAATTTCAACCAAGCAATAACCAAGTAATAATCTTTTAACTTGACAATATCAAACTAAAAATTGTAATTTCACAATCAGCAATATACGCTTAGTCTGTAAAGAATCACAAAATTGTACAAAAGAACAAATTTCATTCAATTTCTTTTAGTTTATTCAATAATATGCATTATAATCATGTTCTCAATATTTTTTTTAATTTAATCAAGTACCAAATCTCAGTGATCCAACCTCATACAGTCCACACCAATTTTCACGATCACCAGCGCAACATAATTCACTTACAGATCAATGGGTAATATTTGGCTCACACCAAATTACCGTGATCGAACAAATATATTTTTTTAATTTATAATAACAATGGCAATGCATCAGGAACATGATTTTTTTTTTTACACACAGTGACTGAAGAAAGTATTTGCACACCATTTTTTTTTAATTGATTAAATTATGAATTTAGGCAATAAATAAACTATTACTTCAAAAATAAAAAGTATATATATAACTTAATAATTACAAATAAAATTCAAATGAAAAACTTCTTTCATAAAAAACTAAAACACCAAACTTACAAAAAATACAGAACAAAGTATTGCACACCTCGCGGTTTATTATTATTTTTTTTAATTTAATATTTTTTATGAAGTCCGTTGGCATCTATTACTGCTTGTAAACGTCTCGGCATTGAGTGGATGAGTTTTTTAATTAAATCCGTGTTAATTTGTTCCCATTCTTGCAGTAAAAGATCCTTAAGGTGGTATCTTCCGGTTATTTGGTGTTTTCGAGCATTAATATGCCGATTCTAGTATCTAAAATATGCCGCAAATTTTCAATTATGTTTAAGTCAGGAGACTGTGGAAGGATATGAAGTTGTTGGTGAATGTGAAATATTAACCATTCTTTAGTTTTGTTTACTATATGTTTCGAATCATTATCATGCATAAAATCTTGACATAACCTTCTGCATTTAAAATCTTTTCAATAGGCACGAGATTTCATACCCCATTATAAGCCATGCCTCTCCAAACCATTACAATCCCACCTCCATGTTTTACAGTAGCTGAGATATTTAGCTTCCTGAATTCTACACTTTTCCTTCGCCATATCCTCTTTCTGCCGTCTATTTCTAATTGTTGTAGTGCTCACACAGACTCCAGAAGTCCATATTAGCTAGGACACCTGCACTAATTCCTGGATTTTTTATCGCCTCAATTTCAATTTTTCTTTTCATCCCCTAATTTACTTTCTTTGGACCTCCTATGTGCCGGTTATTTGCAGTTGTGCCTCTTTCTTCAAATCTCTTAATTACATATCTGATGGTAGAAAAATTAATACATAACAAATCTGTTATTTCACGATACGATTTTCTTTGATTTCGAAATAATATAACTTTTTCGTGAATAGCGGTACTTAGTTCACTTCTTTTTGGCATTAGGATTGGTTAAATTAAAACGAACTTAATAGATTGAATTATTTTATAATACTGATAGAAAAGAACAGGATTATGCTCAAGCATACAAGAGCAAGTAAACAAGCATTGTGCGCAAATACTTTTTTCCTTGTGTTTATGTTTTGTTTAAATGAATTTTTATAATGATTAATATTTTTAATTGAATTTATACTAGTTTTTAACAATTGTTTATTGTACTTTTTATTAAGGAACCTCAAACTATTTTATTATTATTTAAATTCATTATATAAAGAAAAGAAAAAGTGTGCAAATACTTTCTTTGGTCACTGTATAACTGTATAACTTGACTGGTATAACAAAAAAAAATATCTGGAGTGTCCACTCACACGACTTTCCTACCTATTTCAGAAAAGTTTTTATATCTTTACATATGTTCATGAAGAAACAAAAAAGAATTGAACTAGATACATTTTCCTGAAAATTGATCAAACATAAGATTTGAGGATGATTTATTAGATAAACTAAAGCAATGTAAACCGGCTTAAGGTAGATCACTGTAAAAATTTCAATACTTCCTAATATTGCTGATCAAAAACTTTTTGCCATAGCTTAGTATTGTCAAACAATAATTTCGGTTAAAAGTAGAGGAAATAGTGAAGATTGTGTGATGCGGGCAACAGATTTTCTTACTTTCACTTAGTCATCTTTATTCTTTCATTCACCTCTTTCTGACACCAGGATATGAAACCGTAATCTTACATTGGAAATTGAATAGCTGTATCTTTGTTAATAGTTGTCCAAAATGAACGATTTTTATATGGCTTTGTAGGGAATTTCATTACCTTTCAAACGACAGGCTAAACGTTTTTGCGATACAGTCTATAGAAAAACATGTTTTTCATTTATTGCGCGCAAGCTATTGCGCATAGAGCACCAAATTTCTGTCACAGGCATCAGTAGTCAAAACCCTACAAAATAAAACAAAAAGCAACAAAATTGGTTCAGTAGTTCCCGAGAAAATCTTGGCACAGACAGACAGACCAATGGCTAAAAATGTGTTTTTCGGACTCAGGGGGCTCTGAAACGTACAGATCTGTCGAACACTGCATGTCGGAAATTTCACCCGATTGCAATACTTTCCTTACCTAGTATAGGTAGGAAAGTAAAAACTTGATTGTTTTGTTTTATAATATATCTTTACTCTGGAGGAAACATCTACAATCTTATAATCCTACAGGAAGAATTACAGTTGCTTAAAATAAAAATTAACTGCAAAAAAACAAAAATAATGAGGATATGGAGAGGAGAGGAAAGCCTTTGTACTTCGATTGAAGGAAGGAGCACGTCAGAGACTAGAAGTATTTAGGGATCCAGTTAGATGAGAACAGTTAGATAAACGGCAAAATTATGGAAAGAAAACTGTGGTTAAATATATCGACAAACTGACCTGAGTCAGTACTGGAGAGAGAGAGAGAGAATCACTTTATTATCATAAAAGGGTGCTGCCCAATTATATCGGGTTGCTTTAAGCACAGCATACATATTAACTACGGACAAATTTCCAAAACTAATATACAATTATATAGTATTAACAATATATATGAGAATAGTATACAATTTGTTTATATATATATATATATATATATATATATATATATATATATATATATATATCTTTTTAAATTTATTTATTTTTACTATTTCTTTCATTCATTTATTAGCATTATACATCCCTTTATATATCAATTCAAAGAACAGAAGTCAATTCGAAGTAAAGGAAGTGCGGTTTCTGAGAAGAACAGGGGAAAACAAGGAGAAACAAAATCAGAAGCATGAGAATAGGAACCAATTTAGAAGTAAAACCAGCAACAAACATAAAAGAAGAAAATAGACTATGCTGTTATTATGTATGGCCAAGATAATAGAATAGCCAAAATCATGTACGAGGCGAGCGTGGAAGGAAGAAGGCCGAGAGAAAGACCTTGAACAGATGCAATCAGCTGGTACAAGATCGTGATACGTGAATTAGGTTCTATAAAGTGGATACTCAACACAGATTAGTTGAAGAGTAATTAATTAAGAAGAAGAAGAAATTATATCTTCTGCTGAACAATACAAACAGATTATGTAAGGATATTACATTCCATCAATGATGACTATAGGGATGATAATAGAATATGATATGAAATGAAATGAAAAAATAATTTTATTCTGGGACTACTGTCCCCTAAGAATAATGACAGAGTTACAAATTTATGGATCTTAGTCTGACATAATAAAAATACAAACTAATTTACTGTTAATTGTTATTTCAATTGTGCAATGGATTGAAATTAAACATTGTACAGATGCAAGTAATTTTACATGTTAGGGGAAGTTTGAATGTGGAGTAGGTGTTGGAACAGGAGTTGTTTGAAAGAATTTGTGGACGAGGATTGACGCATGGAGGTAGGAAGTGAGTTCCATAAGGAAGCAGCACGAATGAAGAAGGATTTGCTGAAGGAGGAAGTTTTATGGGAGGGAATATATAAGTCTATAGGTTGAGACCTAGTATTGAGAGAGTGGATAGAGGAGCGTAGAGTAAGGAGTTCTAAGATGTAGGTAGGGTTTTTGGTTCTGAAGACTTGGAAAAGGAAAACACCAAGGAGAAATTGTCATCGGGAAGTAGGATAGAGCCACTTCAACTCGGTGTACCAGAGTGAAACATGTGAACGCCTGAGGATCCCGAAAATGTATCTTATGAAACAATTCATGAGTCTCATTTCCAGCCTGGCAGATAGCCCTTCATACACCAAGCAGCCGTAGTCGAAGTGGGGGAATACAAGGGAGGTTACAAGGAGCTGTCTGGTTTTTAGAGGAATACAATCACGGAATCTTAGGAATTGTTTAAGGGCAGTTATGGATTTTCGGGTATTCTGGGAGATATGGTTATTCCAGGAGAGGTTCTGGTCAAAGGTTACTCCTAGGTTTTTGACTGTAGGGAAAAAATGGATGTGATGGTTATTGAGGTAAAGTAGAGGAAAGTAAGGAAGGGAGCTGATGAGATGTCTGGACCCAATGATAATAGCCTTGGTTTTATCTGCACTCAGCTTTAATTCATTTATTTCTGCCCATCTGTTGATGCAGTCGATGTCCTCTTGTAGCCTCCAGGCAGCCTCAGGCATATCAGAAGGTTGGAATGATTGGTATATTTGGAAATCATCGGCATATAGCTGGTAATTGGAGTGTTGAATGGCGTTAGGAAGGTCACTAATATAGATGGAGAAAAGGGTCGGGGAGAGTGAGGAACCCTGAGGAACACCTCGTGTTAATTGAAGGGGTGATGATGGAGGTTTTTTCGAAATTGTAACTGTCTGAGATCGATTGGATAAGAAGGAGAGGAAGCATTTTAGGACGCTATTTGATATGGGCAGGTTTTAGGGGGCGGGGTGGCCGAAAGCGTGTGTAACAGCACCGCTAGTTGCCTGGCATCCGGATAACAGAGATTTGAGATGATATAAAAAGTACGAGTTCGCATCCCGGTGCCAGAGGGGATTTTAAATTCCCCGGCCTCACCCCCCCGGCCCGGGAAAATCCCGTATAGCCTAAAAGGCGAGGTAGGGAAGAACAAAAAAAAAAAAATAAAAAAAAAAAAAAAATAAAAACGGAATCAAACAGAATATTGTTATATATTATTATCAAACAGAAGAATAATATGATAATATTATAAATTAGTACTGGTGTAGATAATTAATTTACAGTATTAAATATTATTTTTAAAGCTTACTTCATATTGTCAATTATCTCATGAGTTTTTTCACCGATCTTTTTTATTACATCTTCTTCAGACGATTCACTCTCTGATAACTGGACTAAAAACAAAGCAACATCCTTCTGAATTTTCGTCATGGCTAAACCATCTGCAAAATAAAGTAAAAGGACATTTATAAATAATTTCCAAATTATAGTACACATTTTTTTTTTTTAAATCATATCTTCTAACCTTTAGACTGAGGAGTTATGGTTATTTCTTTTGCTGGAATATTTACAAAAATATCGGTGAGCTCTGGGTGCGAGAGGATACTGTTATCATAACAACCAGCGACGAAAAATTTCCTGTTCTATAGAATTAACGAAATGCATTATATCACAAAAATTTATTATAGAATTTATTTAAAGAAGATACTCACTCTTAAAGCGGCTATCCCTTCATCAGTTACTTCAAACCATGGGAACAGTGTTTCATCAAATTTTCTGTGAGGAATAAATGACGGAAATGTCTTTAATGACTAAAACAACAATAAAAATTAATTTACAATTTAAATATAAAGTACTTGAATTTAAAATGACTACCTAATTTGTTTTATAAATACTGATAAATTTATTGTAACTACTGACATCATGAAACCTTATAGTCCGTGGTACAGGCCTCTTTTTATCAAGTTATTATCATCCACTTGAAACTTCGTGAACAGCTTCATCTCATCGTAATCCACAACTATTTTATTTATGAAAACTCTTGGAATTGGGGCATTTTCAATCTGGAGATTGGCAAACTTTGTCCATTTAATTAGGTACTAAAAACTCGTAAATACCTATTTGCTTTCCAATTGGACCGTAAAATAATTTGATCACATAATTTAGAAAAAAAGGTGGGCTACAAAAATCGTATGGCCTGTATAACCTCATTATTTTGAGATTTTGGGGGTGTAGGTCATGCCAAACTGGCTCAATATTTTTGAATGTCACTTTTTTATCGACTCGGTAATTTTTGTAAATAATGGGAGTGGGGTAGCTCAGTGGTAGGGCACTGAGCTTCCAATGCAAAGGTCCCGAGTTCGAACCCCGGCTCATGGCAGAAAATTTATTTATCTGTTTCATTGGCCGTGGGGCAACCTTGGGTCAGGAGTCCCCTGGGTACCCTTAATTAAATAATTAATTAAGGGGGAAAACCTGGCGGTTGAGCGTGATCTCGGTCAAATCACCTCCTTGCACAACCGTTGAACTAGAAACAGTGCTTTCCCTAAATAGTACTGAACCCCAGACCCTTGATGGGTTGTAATGGTACAGGTTCTTTTTTTTTTTTTTTTTTTTTTTTTTTTTTTTTTTTTTTTTTTTTTTTTTTTTTTTTTTTTGTAAATAAAAAAGTTTTAGATTATGATGAGATGAAGCTATTTATGAAGTTGCAGGCGGATGTTAATAATTTGATAAAAAGGAGCCTGTATGACGGACTATTAGTAATAAAGTAAGTTTTCTTAACTAGTGTATTTATTCATTCTTGGATGACAGCAATTATACTCTCAGGATTCATTAAATATACAATTAATTTATGATAATAAACATTTAAAGGTAATGACAAATAAATTGACATTATGCTTATTTGGAATTATAAATAGTTTAAGTAACAGGACTTTTGGTCATGTCAAGTTACAGAGGAATTATTTTTTTTTAGTCACATCCTTCAGGTTTGGTGCCATTTTCTCATAATTTTTCATATATCTGTTTTAGGCCAAAGGTCACCAAATATACACAGTTTTTTATCTCCTGTATTCTTTATTCAACGTTTCCTCCTCAGTCCTGTATGACTGCCCTATTGAGGAACAATTTCTTGATACCGTCTGCAAATAGAGAAATGGAAAACGACATTCTTTGAAATAAAAGAATGAATTAAGGACGAATCATATCGTAATGATAGATTTTAAAAATTTTACGGCGCGGTGCATGGATCTTGAAAATGGCTCCTGAAGCCGAAACGTTGAATAAAGCATACAGGAGATAAAAAACTGTGTATATTTGGTGACCTTTGGCCTAAAATAGATATATGAAAAATTATAGGAATTATTTTTATTCAAGAAAAAAAAGCTTTTTTGAATATAATTTTATATATAAATGTAAAACATAACTGAATTAAGATGCAAAATTGATATAATCTTCAATTTTCTACCATTTCTCTTACACATTTTTTTAAAATTATAAAATGCAGTAAATACCAGTATCAATAACAAGAAATGATAATAATGAAAATCTAATCTGAAAATAAATAATAATAATACAAAATAAGTTACCTCCAAAAGTTGAATAAGACCATGATGGTACACAATAACTCGTTTTTTCAATAACATGGCACTGTAAATGACTATTGCCTCCAATCCAAAATGTTTGATCAACTCTATATGAAGTATATTTAAGAAATGTTAAAAATAGTTTTAAAAACAATAACACTGGAGGAAAAACAAACAACTTAGTTATTTACCTTTTAAGTCTGTTTTCTTATACTTTCCGACCATACCAAATTCCATGGGAGTGCCATTTCCATCGATATTGCAAATCCCGATTGTCATGACGCTAATGAAATGCTGTAAGACCTGAGTGGGGTCAGCAGTTTTGCCATACACTTGACTCAAAACATGTCCGAGTTTTTGATATTTATCTGGATTGAAATCTCGAGCCCAAAGAATGACAGAGAAATTTTGAACCTGAAAAACTCAGAAACAATACCAATATAATTTAGCTTATTAGGCACTGTAATCGATTCATAGAAAGATCAGTTACACTAAATAATGAAGACTTCAAACAAATGAGTCAGCGTTCGGCCTCTAATGATCACTCAGCAGTTGAGTAAGTAAAAAAATATAATAACTTAATTGTAGGAAAAATCAAACATATTAGTTGTATATATTCAGGATATAATAAAATAACTATTTATACAATTATAAATGGATTAGTGGATTAATTAGTTCAAACACTTCAACTAAATTAAGTGATGAAAAGCGAAAACAATATATTTGGAATGGTTTATTTTTAAGTTTTTGAAAGTTCGATAATATTTTGCAGTCTGATTTTCTTTGACTCAAATCAATAATGATTTTTATTACTATTTTATCTACAAATGTTTGTTGTTAATTTTTATTTCCAAAAATGTTAATTTTTTTTAGTTTAAATTGTTGAAATTAAAAATAGTAAATATTACAAATATATGTATAAGCAAGTGATCTGGATGTCTCAATAATTAATAAAAATGTGAGTTATTATGGAATTATCATTTGATGTAACATAAATATAACATAGATAAGAACACCACGAATAATTTTTTTTAAGATTATCATAGACAAATCCAAAAATCAAATATACAGCTGAAATAAGAATAATTACGCGCATGTGGTAGTGAATATTCAAGATTAATATAATTTAATCATCCTCAAACGACATTGATTGACTGAGTAATGAATCAGTCATCTTTACTTTTTCTATCCACTCCCCAATTATGGTTAATTAGTTGATTATTTAAAAAAATAAATAATAAAATATTGAAGGAAATTAGTCGACTATTCTACATATCATGGGTGATAAATATTCAGGACGAAGTCATTATAAAGTTTTTATTAGTGATGACGTTTCAACCCAAATATGTTGGTCATCATCAGGGCATGTTTCGAGCACTGAAGATATTCAAGAGTACTTGAATATGATGATGCACATGTTTTGGTTGAAACGTCCACAATAACAAAAACTTTATAATGTCGTCATCCTAAAAAAATTATTAAATATTTTTTTTAGATTAAAAAGTAGTAAATAAAAGGTAAGGAAAATATCGGATAATAATTTGCGATGTTCCTGAACTTTCAAGAACGTTTTTGGAGAATTTCAATCTTTTTTATTATTAAATTAAAACAAAGTAAGTGGACTATAAAGACACAATTCTTTTCGTATATTAAACATAATGACAAGACCCAAACAATTTTCTGATTTTACAGAAGAAATATTCATCACAATTCTTTGTGATTTAAAGTTATGAAATACCAATTAATGATTTTTTTGTGATAAACCGGCGATATAAATAAATGTCTAAGTATATAAGAGAAAAGACTACCTACATCTGGAAACTTTTCAGGGTTTCCCTCCATTAGGTCACTAACATAAAACCAAATATTTTTAACTTTTCCATAAAAAAAGGTTTTCTGGTCTTCTATTGGAGTTTTCTTGATCACATAACTCTTCTGTGATTCTGTTAAACTTGGATAAGCCCAAGTCCATATTGGTTCTCCAAATTTACTTCTTTCTAAAACATTAATTAAAATGAATATCATAGAATTTATAAATTATTTCATACTAAAAATTGGCTAAATGTATAACTAAATAAAAAATAAATAAATACACAGGAGTAATAATCCTGCAATTTATCGCCTTAAAACCCTTACTCTACCTGCCTAAAAAAAATAAATAAAGCTTTTGCCATGTCATTTCTTAAGTAAACTAATACTTTATAATAGAGTCATTTTATTTTAAATAATCAGAAGCTTAGACCTTGACATATTTTATTTTATTTGGTATATTGGTTATACATATCACAAATCTATTTACAAAAAAATAGATTATTTGATTTTAAAAAATAAATATTTTTTCTGGAGTAACTTTTTTATATTGGTTTTTAAAACTTGCTGAAACAACCGAATTTGGCTATGTTTTTTATATAGATTTATAACTGATAATACTAGAGGTTTATCTGATAGTACATTTTAAAGCTTATTGTATGGATTTTCATTTGAAATGTAACACAATAACGTTTGCAAATGTTTTTTTCTTGATATACAAATTTTGAATTTCGTAACTTTCAAAACAAGTCACTGACATTTTTAAAAAACATAATTCAAATTTTCAAGATGAAGGAATAATGGGCTCACGGATGAACAAAATCTTGATGTCAAATAAATAGGCTCTGATTATCAAAAATCATGTGTCAGGGATTTGCAGGTCCAAAATTTATTTTTATTGGGTAATCTGACACAGTAGGAAAATCAACTTACATAAAAAAATATCAGAAGTTATGTAATAAAAAGGGATATATAATTTAAGTAATTATACCAGAATAATCTAGTGGGAGAATTGAGTTAATGCTCTGGTTTAGCAGATGATGGCACTGTTGTTGCAGTTGTTATTTATTTCTGTTACTGTAATTATTTTGTTTATAAGTTCCTAACTTTGTTACCATTATATTATTTATCGTAACTTTGCTTCTGCTATTTTCTATTCCTAACTTTCCTATCGTTATTTTATATTTTCTTCATGCTTATTCTACCTACTTTATACTACTTTAAATTTATTCTACCTACATGTTTTTAGACTAGACCTTTCACCTACATATTATTATTTTCTTTTTAATGTTGATAGTTTCTCATACCTATTATCTGTTTTTTTCTTAGCTTTGAACTTTAGGCTGAAACGTCAGCAAAAATAAAAATAAATATAATTTATTTATTTTAACTTTTTTTTTTTACTGAACACCTCAACCAATCTTCTGTTCAATTAATCTGTCAATATATATACATGGGTGATTCTCAGATTATGGGCGATTTTCATGATAAAATTTTAATCATTTTGACAGCATTTAAATACAATTTTTTAAGTACCGCCTATTGCCGCTCAGCTTTATCTGAGCTAGTAGCCAAGATCAAAAGTGCTTTTTGCTCAGTAATTAAAGTGAGTAAAGCTAATAATTCGATTGTGGGAACTTGTGCGGATTTTCAACTTGGTAATGACATTTTCATGTATTTTATTCAGCCAAAACAGCTGCGTAACTAGTATTATAATTGTTATTGTTTTTTTTTTCAACTGACTTGCAACCAACCGAAGTCAAATGTGAATTATAATAAATGAAATAATTTGAATAGGCAGAGAGATAATATAAGCGGTAGTAATGACAATAATAAAGGTATGTGATCAACGTATAAGAAACAGATGTATAGAGGGAGGCTCCCCAACTGTCATTATAAAAAATAAATAAACAGAAGTTACAACAATTTATTTATTTATACAACCGTTATTTATTTATTTATACAACCAACCCAACTGGTCGGTCTATCTGCTGGTGGCTGCCCTTTAACTCCATGGCTACTAATACACGCTGAAGAAATTTCCCCACTGTTCCCTCTTTTCAACGCTTAAATATTTGATGTTATGGTTTTTGTATGGTAATGACATCAAAGTGATGGGACAATGTTTGAAAATACATAAACATACTTCACTGTTAACAAAAGTTTAAAAAAAATATAATTCAAAATGCCTTAACAATTCTTTTCTTCAGCAGTGAAAATAAATGTCAATGTTATTTTACAGATTCCGAAAGAAAAAAAAAAAAAAAAATGTTTACTAGAAAACTGAGAGTGGGACAATACTAGGTAATGACATTTTAGTAGCTTAAATAATTATAAAATCACACTATTCTTTAATATTTTAATATTTCATTATGAAAAAATACTTCTTCACTGTATAGCAGTGGGGAAAAAAAAAATCAAATTAGACTTAACTAATAACGTAAAAGTTGTAATGGACTAAAACTTGCTCCTAAAATGAGAATCACCCCTACATCAAAACAAAGCATTCAGCATCAAGTAAACAATGTTTTGACACAAGGGGTTTAATTCACAAGACTTGCACAAGATACCAAAAATAATATTGGCATTGTTTGAAAGCATTTGTAATAGTAATGTAAGGATAAAAATTCCCTCATAAACTGAAACCATAATTATAATAAAAGAAGAATACATACAGTACAATAATATGATTTTGAATAATTAATTTAAATTTTAATTAATAGGATTGATTACCGAGAATACTACAAGCCAAAAGGTGACTCATTATTATTTAATTAACACCTTTCAAATAAACTTTGTATAAAACTTTACTTTTAAACTAAGAGCCACAATACGCTTGAAGGTATCGATATGGTTATCCTTTCAGATGTATAAATTTAACTGTTTATTACACTTAATATTTATTATTGTACCAAAAGAAACTTATAATAATTAAAGTACAATAATTTACTTGGAATTTAGTTTAGCATTTATTAAAATAAATAAAAATCGATAAAATTTTAATCGATGAACCGAGGGTATTGTTAATGCAATCGATATACGGCCATTACCAAATCATAGTTTTCTAACCTCAACCATTTTGCTTCCGGGCATAGGTTGTACACGCTGCGGGTTATTTTCGTTTAATTCGTGATAGACCGACAGAAAAGAGTTCACCATGGCTCGGTACAGCCAACGTCCTGAAAATGCTCTTAAGAGAGCCAATGGTGAGTAATTGGAGCTTTAATTAATTCTTTCTATGTCTGTTTCCATAGATGACAAACTATCGGGACAGGCTGTCTTGTATAGTTTGTTTTGCTTGCCGATGTTATATCTGTTTTCATTCAGTGTTATGAACTTTGAAATTAATATTATCATCTTGATTGCCTTCAATAGTCATTATTCTATTTTCTGTGAAATGTGTTTCAATATGTTAATGTTAGGTTATTCTGTTTTCAGAGTTTATTGATGTGGGAAAACCAGCTAGAGCCTTAGATACACTATATGAAGTATTTAGGAACAAAAAATGGGCTTACAATTGGAGCGAAAGTTTGCTGGAACCTATTATGTTCAAGTATTTGGATCTTTGCGTGGAACTGAAAAAATCGTTGATCGCCAAAGAAGGTTTATTCCAGTACCGAAATATGTTTCAGTCTGTAAGTGTATTGTATTATTTTTTGCATGTATTTTACATTCAGTAAAAAGTTGAAAGATTCTTGTGATACTGATTTTCAATTATATCTCAGGTAAATGTTGGCTCATTAGAAAATGTAATCCGAGGATACCTCCGAATGGCTGAAGAGAAAACTGAATCTGCTAGAGAACAATCCCAACAAGCAGTGGTCGATATCGATGATTTAGATAATCTTGCTACACCAGAGAGCATATTGCTGAGGTAAGAAGAATATATATTAATGTCTTGTTCTGTTGTTTTATAGAATGTGTAAATTTTTTACTCTTAATGTTTGTTTCGGATCCTTTCAATTTCTTATAATAACAGCAGTAGTTGATGGCTGTGATAACTTGAAGTGACTACATTAATTTTCATAGTAATGCCTGAGTCAAAACATAATTTTGATAGGTTTGAAAAATTGTTTTAGTCACAATAATTGAAATCCACATTGTCTTTTTGAAATAGACAGCTTATGAAAAAAAAAAAATTGTAGTTGATTTGGGACTGAAATAAAATTGATTGGTGCCTCTTCTGGATTGCTATCCAGTTTAGCTATTTTAAAAGTCATCTATTCATTATTTTATAATTTGACAAATAATTGTTCTAGAGCTTATAGTATTTAATGACAAACTCTCAATTGATTATTTGCCGTGTCCATAATTTTTGGGTGAATTAACCAGAAATTTTCGAATATTACTCCATATGATTGCTTTGAGTAATTTTATCTGCTATCGAAATATTTCACTTCTTTTTACATTGCCTGTAATGCTAAACAACTCTTTAGTGAAATGATATAAATTATATCCGATAAATTTACTTATATAGGAATACAATAACATATTTATCATTAAATCAAATTAATTTAATATAATGCTTGTTATTGAATTAAGGTATTTTATGTACTATGTAATAAGTGTTTTCAATTTACAAATTATTTAGCCAGAATTGTTTTACTATATGAAGTTTGAAAAAATATCTATTTATTATTCATAAACTTCTCAATTTTTCTTATCTTAATGGACACTTATATTAATTGATCTATAAATTTAGCATGAAAATGTTGCCTTAGTCATGCTAACATTTTACCCACATTTTTATGATTATCATGACCTGTTATTTTATATATGAAATAATATATCATAAAAAATATGTTAAGATTAGATTTTTTCTTGTTTATTTTATAAATATTACTTTTAATTAATATTACCACAACAGTATCCATTTACTGGAAATATTTTATAAAATTATTTATTGATTTTATTTGATCGTAGTGCTGTTAGCGGCGAAGATGCTCAGGATAGAAGCGACAGAACAATTCTTACTCCTTGGGTAAAGTTTTTGTGGGAATCTTATTGCCAATGTTTGGAACTGCTCCGAACCAATGCTCATTGTGAAACCCTCTACCACGACATCGCTCGCATGGTATTTAATTAATATTTAAAACCTAATATTTAATATTTGTTTACTAACTTTGATTATAATAATTTTCTTAATTATTTTTAGGCATTTAACTTCTGTTTGAAATATAATCGAAAAACAGAATTTAGGAAGCTGTGTGATAAATTAAGAAAGCATTTAGAAGATATTAGCAAATTGCCAGTTCAGGTTGCTAATGTAAGTCTCAATAAACCTGAAACGCAGCAGTATAATTTGGAAACCAGATTGGTTCAGTTGGACTCAGCTATTCAGATGGAATTGTGGCAGGTAAATTAATGTTTTCAACTTTATATATATTTTTTTTAATTTAAACTTTAAAATATGAGGTGTTGGTGATATCTGAAATTCTTTGTTTATTCTATGTTCTTGTTTAATACATATCCTTTTAAAAACTTTAACATAAAAAATATATATATAAAAATCGTCTACTATTTAAGTTAAGTATGTAGGGTTTGGCAGTAATAGTAAAAAAGTATCTTAAAAATAACCATGGTTATAAAATAATCCTAGAATTTAAGTACTTTTCAAAATACTCATCAACAAAAAAATGACTACTTGTTAGAATCAAAATATTTATTACAAAAACAAAACAAAAATGAGATTTTTGGATTTAAATTAAAATCAGATGCTCTACATGGTCGTTTGGCGATCTGAGGAGTAATTTTTATAGTTCTAAATTATTGCTTACAAATATAGGCTATTAGCTATTATTTCTTAAACCCGTTTCTTGTGATATATATTAAAAGCACTAGATACTCATGACTTAAAACATTAACTACAGCTAAAACTTTTCTCAGTGCTGAAATTTTTTTTTTTTTTTCTCTGCATACTAATATTCTACAACAATTGTATAATAATTTTTACTAAACGATCCTCTTTTTAGCTACACTGTTCATATTATTCATAAACCTGTTGCTATTACTTGAAATTGTCACCAAACTTTTCATTATACTGTGAAGAAGTATAAGGTCTAGGAATTAACTGTACATTTGAAAGTTTTTATAACATTAGTAGAGTAATTCAATTTTGCTTTTTGTCCTTTGAAAATGAATATTTTGTTAATGTACTTTAATAACCTATACTCATATTATTCAAGCTTAGAGTATGTGCTTAATATGTGTTTAACATAAATATATAATTAAAATAGATCTACTACATGGTTTGTAATGCCAACAGAAAAAAACATTAAATTACATTTAGAAAATAGATATATTTTACTGTCATTTATATAAAAAAATACCTAAATAATTTTTACTAAATGATCCTCTTTTAAGCTGCAATGTTCATATTATTCATAAACCTGTTGCTATTACCTAAACTTGTCACCAAACTCATTGATGCAAATGTTAACAATCCAATATAAAAAAATTGTCATTTTTTTTCAATTCTGCATTCTTGTAATTGTAATTAGATATTTTTATTAAACATGAAATATAAAATCTTCAAACACTCATAAAAGCACATAGTATGAAAATGATATATATAAAAATTATAGTAATAGTGAATTTTATTTATAGTCATATTTAGTTAAAAAAGAACAGATCATTTCACTCTTCTACATCCTTGTAGATTTGTACAGATCATTATTACCTCTTCTAAATCATTTTCAAATTACTAAAAAAAAATTACATGTTACAGGAAGCTTATAAAGCAATTGAAGATATACATGGTTTAATGAACATGTCTAAAAAACCGCCGGTGACGAAGACTATGGCGAATTACTATCAAAAGTTAGCGATGGTCTTCTGGAAAGCCGGTTACTACCTTTTCCACGCTGCTGCTTTGTTTAAACTTTTCCAGCTTTCTAAAGATATGAAGAAAAACATCACATCTGATGAGCTCCAAAGGTATTTTGAATAATATCAATTCTTGAAAATAGTAATAGTAGTGATCATTTGAGATTTTATTCTGTTCGGTAATATTTTTATTGCATTGCAGTCTTAAAAGTATTACAATTTCTTATACAATTATGTTATTTAATTGCAAAATTAAATTAATAATCTCTATATTCATTTAGAGTCATTAAGGAAGGATTAATTCTTAAAAAAGTGAAGAATACAATTGGAGAGGAGGATGTTTGGGGTGATCAGTCAAATTGAAATGGCAAAAAAAAGTAATTTTATTTATTTTTACATTCGCTGACGTTTCGCCCCGAAGTTCAGGCCTTCATCGGGGATGGAGAATAAAGAAACAGATAACCATTTGAATTTGACTGATCACCGCAACCATCATTCTCTTCAATTATTCACTACAGTCAACCATAAACCCACAATTATTGAAGAAAACAATTTCTTCTTATTCTTCTCTAAAATTGGAGGCATTTTGCCCATTATCAAATTCTTTCATGTGCTGATTGGTTTTCAGTATTTCTTGTAAGCTTATGACCAGTTTTTCTTTTTTACCTATGATGAAATTACTTTAACCTCCAATAGATCCTGATGAATCAGTGTGATTATATTTTTAGTTTTCTGAGGTAAAAATATTCCGTTGATAAGAGCACAAAAATTTGAAAGTCTATCATCTCCAGTTCTTACCGATGATAAAATATTTCATTACCTCCAATAGATCCTAATGAGTTAATATGATTAAATGTTAACTTACTGATTTGAGACTGTCCTTAATTATAAATTAATCTTTTTAGAATTATTCATCAATCTAGTCTAGTAATCGGTCAATAGTAATAATCTATCATATATAAATAATCTATCTATAGTCTCTAGCAATCTATCTTGTCTCTATAGTCTATTGCAATCCATCTTGTCTATAGTCTCTAGCAATCTATAATGAAATATTATTCATTTCATATTTTATTTATTTATGGGATTAGGTGATTTGAGAGTTTTTAAATAGACTATGTTGTGAGGGTTTTTCCCAAAGTTGGATTCCAGAAGTAGGTAAGCTCAATATATCGAACATAACATTAGCTGTTTGTATAACATAAAATGTATTTAATTATGAAGCAGGATCCTGATAATCTATCCCTTTTTACAATTTCTTTTAGAATCCTATCATCTCCAGTTCTTACCGATGATGAAATATTTCATTACCTCCAATAGATCCTAATGAGTTAATATGATTAAATATTAACTAACTGAGGTGAGACTGTCCTTAATTATAAATTAATCTTTTTAGAATTAATCATCAATCTAGTCTAGTAATAGGTCAATAATAATCAATCAAATATAAATAATCCATCCAATAATCTTTACCAATCTATAATGAAATATTATTCATTTCGTATTTTATTTCTTTATAGAATTAAGTGATTTAAGAATTTGTAAATAGACTATGTTGTGAAGGGCTTTTCCAAAGTTATATTCCTGAAGTAGGTTCATTCAAGATATTGAAGATAATATTAGCTGTTTGAATAACGTAGAAATGTATTTAATTATGAAGCAAGATCCGGATGATCTATCCCTTTTTATAATTTCTTCTGAAATCCTATCATCTCCAGTTCTTACCTATGATGAAATATTTTATTACCTCCAATAGATCCTAATGAATTATTATGATTAAATATTAACTTACTGAGGTGAGATTGTCCTTAATTATGAAGAGAAATATCACATCTGATGAGCTCCAAAGTTATTTTGAATAATATCAATTCTTGAAAATAGTAATAGTAGCGATCATTTGAGATTTTATTTTGCCCAGTATTCGGTTCACTAATAGTTTTTAGCATTGCATTCTTAAAAGTATTACAATTATGTTATTTAATTCCGAAATAAAATTAATAATCTATATACATTTAGAGCCAATAAGGTATAATTAATTCTTAAAAAAGTGAAGAAAATAAGTCTGATCTGTATAATTCTCTAAAATTGGAGGCATTTTGGCCTCAAAATCAAATTCTTTCATGTGCTGATTGGTTTTCAGTATTTCTTGTAAGCTTATGAACAGTTTTTTTTACCAATGATGAAATTACTTTAACCTCCAATAGATCCTGATGAATCAGTGTGATTATATTTTTAGCTTTCTGAGGTAAAAAAATATTCTGTTGAAAAGTGCACAAAAATTTGAAAGTCTCATTCAGATTTTAAAAATTTTGTTTGAGAAACCCTTACTTTGTCGACAAAAATCAATAAAGGATTATATTGCCTTCAAAACCAATCCATTAGTGATTTAATTAACATAGCTATATTTTCATCTCGACAAGAAATCATAGAGATTCATATCAAGAGAGAAATTATTTCATCACAGGTAAGAACTACAATTGACAATTTTATAGAGTAATGATAATAATATTGTAGAAATATTCTTATTTATTTAAAACTTATTAGATACCGTTTTTAATGAAAAAATCCAAACTACAAAGCCATGAGTCTCCAACATAAAAGTGAATTGTTAACTTGTCAATGTTTTGCCAATTCTGCCATCATCATGGCAGAAAAAGTAAAATCACAAAAAAAAATTATGGCAGTTGACATATCACAAAGGGATCCAAATTCATCTTAATATATTTGGATCTCTTTGTAATATGTCAACTGTAATAATTTTTTTGTTTTTTCTTTCTGCGCGTGTATGTGTTCTTTTTCTGCCGTGATTATGCATAAATTGGCAAGTTAACTATTTACCTATATGTTGGAGACTCGTGATTATTGGAGTGTGGATTTTTCCATTAACAACGGTATCTGATACGTTTTAAATAAATAAGAATAATTTTTAAATTATTATTCTTTAATATTATTATCATCACTCTATAAAATTGTCAATCGTAGTTCTGACCTGTGATGAAATAATTTCTCTCTTGATATAAATCTCCATGATTATGGATTTTCTTGTTTTGTTTTTAATTTTATTAGGGGTTTCCACTAATAGTGGGTTTCCTTAACCTTCCTTTTTATAATTTCTTTTAGAATCCTATCATTTCCAGTTCTTACCGATGATGAAATATTTCATTACCTCCAATAGATCCTAATGAGTTAATATGATTAAATATTGACTTACTGAGGTGAGACTGTTCTTAATTATAAATTAATCTTTAGAATTATTCATCAATTTATTCTAGTAATCCGTCAACAGTAATAATCAATCAAATATAAATAATCTATTTATAAACTCTAGCAATCTATAATGAAATATTATTTATTTCAAGTTCTATTTATTTATGATTAAGTGATTTAAGAGTTTGTGAATAGACAATGTAGTGAGAGTTTTTTCCAAAGATAGATTTCGGAATTGTGTTCACTCAAGATATCGAAGATAATATTAACTGTTTGAATAACGTAGAAATGTATTTATTTATGAAGCAAGATCTTGAAAATTATCCCTTTTTATAATTTCTTTTGAAATCCTATCATCTCCAGTTCACTGATTTCGATCAAGATATCGAAGATAATATTAGCTGTTTGAATAACCTAGAAATGTATTTAATTATGAAGCAGCACCTTGATAATCTATTCCATTTTATAATTTCTTTTAAAATTCTATCATTTACAGTTCCTACCTATGATGAAATATTTCATTACCTCCAATAGATCCTAATGAGTTAATATGATTAAGTATTAACTAACTGAGGTGAGACTGTTCTTAATCATAAATTTATCTTTTTAGAATTATTCATCAATCTAGTCCTGTAATCAGTCAATAGTAATAATCTATCTATAGTCTCTAGCATCTATAGTGAAATATTATTAATTTCACTTATTATTTATTTATGTGATTTGAGAGTTTGAGAATAGATCACGTAGCCAGATTTTTTCCAAAGTTAGATTCCGGAAGTAGGTTCGCTCAACATATCAAACATAACATTAGCTGTTTGAATAACAAAATGTATTTAATTATGAAGTAGGATCCTGATAATCTATCCCTTTTTGCAATTTCTTTTAGAATTCTATCGTCTCCAGTTCTTACCTATGATGAAATATTTCATTACCTCCAATAGATCCTAATGAATTAATATGATTAAGTATTAACTAACTGAGGTGAGACTGTTCTTAATCATAAATTTATCTTTTTAGAATTATTCATCAATCTAGTCCTGTAATCTGTCAATAGTAATAATCTATCTATAGTCCCAGGCATCTATAGTAAAATATTATTAATTTCACTTATTATTTATTTATGTGATTTGAGAGTTTGAGAATAGATCACGTAGCCAGATTTTTTCCAAAGTTAGATTCCGGAAGTAGGTTCGCTCAACATATCGGACATAACATTAGCTGTTTGAAGAACGTAGAAATGTATTTAATTATGAAGCAGGATCCTGATAATCTATCCCTTTTTACAATTTCTTTTAGCATTCTATCGTCTCCAGTTCTTACCGATGATGAAATATTTCATTACCTCCAATAGATCCTAATGATTTAATATGATTAAACATTATCTAACTGAGGTGAGACTGTCCTTAATTATAAATTAATCTTATTAGAATTATTCATCAATCTAGGCAAGTAATCTCAATAGTAATAATCTATCTTATAATATTAGCTGTTTGAATAATGTCGAAATGTATTTAATTATGAAGCAGGATCATGATAATCTATTCCTTTTTTTAATTTCTTTTAGAATCCTATCATCTACAGGTCTTACCTATGATGAAATATTTTATAACCTCCAATAGATCCTAATGAGTTAATATGATTAAATTTTAACTGACTGAGGTGAGACTGTCATTGATAATAATTATGTCTCTTTAGACTTATTCATTGACTCTTCTTTGGTGTAGTGGTTAAACTTATGAATTGAGCCAGATTTGAAGAAATCCTTGAGTAAAAATCAGGAATTATGCTTTAAAAAATATCAATTCTTCAGGAATTTTTAGAATAATAATCCCATTCTTATCTAATTAAATGAACAAGACATGTTTTGAAATGATAAAAGAAAAACTGTCATCATACTACACATTTACAATAAATTAAAATAAATTTCAATCTTCCTAATTTAGGATATTTGTTCTTACTTATGATGATTTGCTTTATACCTCCAATAGATCCTAATGAATTGGTGTGATTAAATTTATTTTTACTGAGGTGAGAACGAATATATTTAAAGGCAAAATATATAACTTTTTAAAATAAACTTTCATTGTTTTTTTTTTGTCCTGTTTATAAGTGACTAAAATATAAAATAAAGAGGACTATTTATTTTACTGGTGCTAGGTATTCTTCTTCTTTTGCTGTATTTGGTTTTTGTTTTTATTTTTGACAAATTGAACGGCGGGACAACCTTTATGATTTTTAGAATTCATTTTTAAGACCGAATTGTACATTTTATCAGAAGCTTGACCAATCGTAACGTTCTACGATTGATTTTGTTTTTATTTGATTTAAATAGACATAAATGTCTTAATAATGTTTCAGCACTGGACATCATGGTGTGTTCTTTAAAGATAATATTTGTTGTCTAAAGTGATCCAATTTTTAATAATTAAACTCGGTCTTGAGGGAGTGTGGAGTAGCTCAGTGGTAGGGCGCTGAGCTTCCAATGCTCAAGGTTCTTGGTTCGAATCCCTGCTCATGGCAGAAAAATTATCTATTCTGTTTCATTAGCTGTGGGGTGACCCTGGATTCAGGAGACCCACCTACAGCTCACTCAGCCTCTATAAAGTGGGCACCCTTATTTTTAAATAATTAATTAAGTGAGAAAACCTGGTGGTTGAGCGTAATCTCAGTCAAGTCGCCTCCTTGCACAAGTGTTGACCAAGTAACAGTGCTTTCTCTAAATATTACTGAATTCAAGACCTTTCATTGATGTCAATTTTTCTTTATCATGTGTTTAAATTCTGACATCGCCAGTTCTTACCTATGATGAAATACTTTATTACCTCCAATAGATCCTAATGAGTTAATATGATTAAATATTAACTACCTGAGGTGAGAACTGGTAATGAAGATGACAGTCTCTATTTGAATAAAATATGGGTAATCCAATTTAGAAAACTGATAAATATTTATTGTAATGAAAGAAATATTGCGAGTGATTACTTCACTTTTGTTATCTATAACCCCTCAATTAAATAGATTTCTAATTTCATATTTGTTAATTAAAGACGATATAAAATATCTAGGAAATTATTTTATATTTTATTGATTCATTTGTATAGACGTCTATTTTTCTAATTTTTCTACCATTATAATATCAGCCTGTATTGGTTTTATTTTGTTTGTATTTTATCTTTGAAAATTTTAATTTTAATGACATTCATATTTCTATTTTTATGGTTACTAATTATTATTTTTCATTTTTATTCGTTCTTAAAAAAAAGGCTCATTGATATCTGTAAATCTGAATGATTTTTAACCTCATTATTTTTTAATCTAAATTTAGGGCATTTGTTCTTACCTATGTTGATTTATTTTACAGATCCTAATGAATTGTTGCAGTGCTTTAAAAAATAACAATTCATCAGGAATTTTTAGAATAATAATTCCATTCTTATCTAATTCAATGAACTATAGATATTTTGAAATGATAAAAAAACTTATTAGTTTCAATTGTACTCAATCTATCATCGTACTACGCATTCGCTATAAAGTTCTATCTTCCTGATTTAGAGTATTTGTTCTTACCTATGGTGATTTAATTTTTACCTCAAATAGATCTTAATGAATTGGTGTGATTAAATTTCTTTTTACTGAGGTGAGAACGTAGATTTAAAGAAATGATATATAACTTTTTTTGTCATGTTTATAAATAACTAATATAAAACTAAAATGAATTGTATTTGTCTCTTAACTTAATTTCTCTATTAAAAAAGAAAGAAATATTTTGGACTCCTGATAATCATTTCTCTTTTCTCTGTGGTCAATAATTCTTACTCATGATGAATCATTATTTACCTCCAATAGATCCTTATGAATTGGTATGATTAAATATTATCTTTTCTGAAGTAAGAAATTATTGATTGGTTTTGTAACTTATTGAGCTTTAATTAATTTGCTTCCAATATTTTTTTTATATAATCTATGGATGTCTAAAATGTGATCAGAACGTTTGAAAATATGATTTGGGCTTTAGTGATGCAATTGCTAAAAATGTTATTTTGTTGATATAGAACTATGTTCAGGATTTAGTAAGATCGCAAAAATTGTAGATTCCCAATAAATTTTGTTAAAGCTAGAAATGTCATCATGAGTTATAAACTTTAATACCTTCCTTCAAATTTGGAATAGCTGATTTTTACATTTGAAAGTATGATTAAGAGACTTGTAAAAGAATTTACATAACATACGTAACATATGTTTAGTTTAACTCTTGTAATCCAGCTGGAATTTTTTTTTTTTTCATATTTCGGTTTTATTCATTATAAATTGTATCAAAGATACATTAACTTTATTATTTTCAATAATTAATAAAAAAAAAAAGGCAAGACTATTATTTGGTTTCTTCTGAATAAACCTCAATCTTAATTGTCTATAATTTGAATTTTGCTGTAATTTATGTAAGACATAATTATCAAATTTCTTGCAACAACCTCTATTATTTATTATTTTACTTTTATTTTTTTTGTTACCAAATATTATTTCTTTCTATTGCAAAATGTTGCGAATAATGTTGACAGTAATGACAGAAATAAATTTTGTTTTTACTTTCTTGAAAATCATTGATAATGTGAACAAATTAAGTGTGATTCATTGTTTCTTTTTGATTTAACAGCAACCAATGAATTAATATGTTGGAAGGATATAAGAATACATTATATTAATAAGTTAATATATTGGAAATTATTTAATATATTTTTATTGAAAGAAGTTAGTCAACTGTTCTACATATCATGGGTGATAAATATTCAGGACAGTCTTTTTTTTTTTTTTTAATTTTTTTTTTATTTATGCCAACGTTTCAACCCAAATATAAACATGTCAGGGTGTGGTTTGAGTGCGTGGTCACTTGAACTCCCTCAGTGCTCAAACCACGCCCTGAAGATGACCCACATGTTTGGGTTGAAACGTTGGCATAAATCAAAAATTAAAAAAAGACTGCGTTCTGAATATTTATCACCCATAATATATTTTTAAGTTTGTTTGTTTCGATGTCTAGGCGCAAAACATCCAGGTCATAAGCGCATATTTTTAAGTTTTACTGATTTAATAATTAACATTTTATTTTTTCTTCTGTAGAATGGCTTGCTGTGTTCTTTTGGCTACACTTTCAATACCATTGCCGTCTGCCCATCCAGAGTTTGACAGGTTTATCGAAACCGATAAGTCTCCTCTTGAGAAAGCACAGCGCCTGGCTGTTCTTCTTACTCTTCAGCAGCCACCGACAAGGGCGTCACTCATCAGGGATCTGGTAAATATTTTTCTATTTTATTTTTATTTTTTATATTGGTCTCCTAATTTTTTTTTTCTATTAAATAAAAACCTGAAAAAAATACGCTATGATACAAATAATATGCTTCAATCAAGCTTATGATATAAATAAATATGAACGATAAATTCTGATGTTAGAGATCTTTAAAGATATGTTGATGCTGAATCGTTCCAGATTATTTAAAGCCAAGTGAGCGTGAACCCTTCATTGATTCATTATAAGATAGAATAAAATTTATTTTCTCTAGTCATAGTAACTTAATCATAAATGTTTACAATTCATTCACTTTCCCGATTAATTTGATTTCGTTTGAAATAAAATCACAAGAATATTAAAATTATTTATTAATATTTATATACGTACAAAATATTTCTGTTAGTCAAGTTTATGTTAAATTTAATATTATCTTTTATAAATATAAATGTACTATATAAATATGTGCTTTTTGCTTTGTTATTTATATTTTATTTCTAACTTATCATTTTAAAATTTGTAACCCATAATCAGTACATTCATTTCTTGATATTATGTCGCTCTCCGAAATTGTTATTTATTATTACATTGTCTTAATTTAATTTAACAATAATTATACAGGATTAAGTAATTTGTCCATTCTTTGTCACAAGTGAACTTATTCTTATAAACAGAAAGATAAATATTATTCTATTTTAGTCATTGTTTCTAACTTTTGAAATTAAAAAATGGAGGTTAACCAAATGTTACGAAATTAAAACCGCCATTTTCTATTCTTTAAGCAAATCAATGTTACATTTACTATTTTAATCTAAGATTAATTTTATGTTCTCATGAGTTCAGAATTTTTTTTTACCATTGACAGTCTCTTTTTTTTATTTAAAACTTTATTTGTAGAGAAGCTTTCGGTGTCCATGCACTATATTCATCTCTATAATTATAATACTCCCATTAGTATAAACAGTTATAATAATATATGTATTACATAATTTTTGAAATGTCATGCAATTATTATCAGATCATGCCATACCTTTTTTTTTTAGTTTTGTCTATTTAAAAACATAAAAGATAAGAACAGTGTTTCTTCGTTTCATGTCAGCTTTCTCCGAGAATAGGATTCCTCTTTGTCGAACATCTTACTAATTAATATCTTACCTTATCAAATAAGGTAGGGTAACGTTAGTTACCAAATAATTGTGATAATATAGAGGGTGCTGACAGCAAATCCTCAGCACTCAGTAAGATGGTGTTCGACGAAGAGGAGTCCTATTCTCGGAGAAAGCTAACATGAGACGAAGAACAAGAGCAATGTTCTTATCCTTTATGATTTTTAAATAGACAAAACTAAAAAAAAAGGTATGGCATGATCTGATAATAATTGCATGACATTTCAAAAATTATGTAATACATATATTGTTATAACTGTTTATACTAATTGGAGTATTATAATTATAGAGATGAATATAGTGCATGGACTCCGAAAACTTCTCTACTAATAAAGTTTTAAATAAAAAAAGAGATTGTCAATGGTAAAAAAAATCCTGAACTCATGAGAGAGAAAAAAAAAACAGTCTAAAATTACCTAATGATTAATTTTTTTTTTAATTTGATTTATTTAACTTTGTTCCGACTTTGATGGCGACTACTATTCTTTTTAAATATCATGAATTAATTTTATTATTCTATCAATTAGCGAAAAGTAATAAAGTTTTTTTTTTAAACTATCAATAATTATATTTTAAAAATATTTTTGGTTATATAAATATTTGTTTTAATATGATACTATTTTATCTATTGAAGTAATTTCTTTCTTTTTTTCTTTAGGTGAGAATGAACGTCGTCCAGTTAGCATCCCCTCAGCTTCAGGAACTGTATCAGTGCCTGGAGATTGATTTCAACCCTTTAACACTCTGCCTGAGGGTGAGCGCGGTTACTTCACAGCTCCAAGGTGACGAACAGTACATTCCTCCTCTGCAGGTATACTCCTTAAATATTCTTCTATAAACAATTATTGATAGATTACAATTATTTTATCAGAATATTATTTCAACAGGATGTGACATTGGTGAAATTGATCCGTCAAGTATCTCAAGTCTATCAGACTATTGATTTCAGCCGCCTCCTTGAGCTAGCTCTCTTTACCACTCCTTTCCATCTTGAAAGGCTTCTCGTTGACTGTGTCAGACACAATGACATGCAGGTTGGTTTTTTTTTTATTCATTTATATATGTAATGATATTACTTTCACTTACCTATATATAAAATATATAGCAAGGGACAGGGAAAATTTTCGACTGAGTTTTCAACGGAAATATATGTTTTGAGGTCTCCTGAGTCTAAATAACCAAGGCCCGCAAAATGGTCTGTGTGTTTGTGTATGTAAACAGTCTTGCTCAAAAACGGAAAGTCATACAAAAGTGAAATTTGATATTTAAAGTTTGTATATACCTTGTATGTTACTGCAACTTTTCTCTTAAAATCGGTCAACCGGAAGTGCCACTTTATATCAACGGTGAAACACATAGTTACAATTTTCTCAAAAACGGCTCTTAACGAGTTTGATTAAACTGAGTGTATCATTGTATAATTAAGTGGTCTTTAATATCAATTACGGCTTATCCCCATTGATGTTACTTTACAGGGCTTAAATGCCCAATGTTCGTTTACACCTTCCTCTAAAGTACCTTTAATATGGCTTATTTTAAATAATCAACTATCTCACATTATTAAGAGTTACAAAAAAATGCTTATCCAGGTCGAAAATGAATCTCCGGAAATACCAGTCAGAAGGTATGCATATAATATATCGTTGGAAAGTCGAGAATTTAAGAAAAAACAATATCTAATATAGAAAGTTGTTGAAGGTAACGGAGTGTGTTGAAATAATTATAAATAATAATTTTTGGAAACTAATATTATTTAATGTAAATCATAAGTTTTCAAGGGAATCAAATGAAATTTACTAACAAAATGTGAACTTAAAAAATATTTTTAAGTTTGAAAAAAGTATTTAAAATCTAACTAATCAAGGCAATGACATTGTTTACAAAACTATTTCATTGTACTTGTGTGAAAGAAGAAGTGAAATATAAAATCATTTTATGGATGTATAAAGCATATGTTTATAATAACCTTAAATACATTTCCTATAGTTTAATAATTCTAGGTCTGATATTATATTTAAATAATTAGGTATCAACATCCGTTTATTCTGAAAAATAATCATGTAACCTTTTAGAAAATTAAATTAGTGAATAATTTGATGAAAATCAATACTTGGCTCTCCATTGTTAAAAAATGAATGTAATATAAATTTAATTAGTGACACTTAACAAACAGCTCAAACTACTTTACTCTCTTTTTTCAAAACTAAAACTAGAACAGAAACTGAATACATATATGTACTTACTTAAGCCCATATGTACATACTCATCATAAATATAAGGCATCGCTAAAAAGGCCCGCCTACAAAAACTTCAAATATTCCAATTAAAATTATTGCAACTTATAACAAAAGCACCTTGGTACGTGACTAACAAAACTACATACTGACCCTGACCTCCACCTTCCAACAGTTTACCAATGTATAATGATCCTTTATCAATGATTTTACACAAATTTAAATGGACATAATAAGAGACATGGCCACAGCTGACATACCTTAGAACATGAGGAGGAGACTAAAAAGATGTTGGATGAGGGATCTCCTTCCTTAAACAACCTAAGTAATTGGAACAAGTTAGGGAAGAGGTACTGCTGAGTACTTTCCTTCCTCATGCCTTTCATGTCATTATTTCATGTATCGCCATCACATTTGCTGATTGTCAACAATAAGTTGACAGGCGCAAATACATTTTTTATTTTCATACTTCTAAATTAATTACATAATAACAAATAATTATGAACTTATCAAATACAAGAAAAGATAGGTTTTTAGCATATAATACTACAAAATCAAGCCTTCAGAAAACGTCATGTTTCCATATGAACATGATAATGATAATGTAATCTTCAAATTAACCTTATACTGATGGTATTGTTTTTATTTTATTTATTCATTTATTTTTCTTTTAAAAGATACGTATTGATCACGGAGCTGGATGTGTACACTTCGGCACGGACCTGACTGAATGCCCGAGGGAAGAGAAGCAGGACGGACCCATCCTCCAGAGCATGCCCAGCGACCAGTTGAGAACGCAACTTATCAATATGGCCAACGTTCTTCAGAGCGCAATTAGTATTATCAACCCTAACGTTAACAAGGTATAGAGGTTTGCTATTCGATGTAGTTGTCGATGTGTATTCGGTTAATATATAAAATTTAACTTTATTATTATTTTCTTTTTAAAGGCCGAAAAAGATAAAGTTAGAGTACAATTAGTTCAGCACTACACTGAAAATATGACTAAAGAACATCAAAGAATCCTTGCCCGACATAAGATTATTGAAGATAGGAAGGAATATCTCGAACGGTTGAATACAGTTAGGGTAAGTTAAAAAATTAATTACAGAAGGAATGAAATGTTCACATTTTCATTCATACGATAGTATTATCAACATTCTTGTTTTAGGAAGAACAAGAGCAAAGGAAGGCAGAAGAACAAGCCAGGCAGCAAGCGTTGGCCGAGCAACGCCGTCTCGATCAAGAAAGGGAAGAAAGAGAAAGGAAGCGTCATGAAAGCGAAATACAACAAATTAAGGACAGACATTTGAAGGAAAAAATGCAGCAAATATCTCTGACTCCTCATGGTCAAAAAATACTTAAGAAATTGGATGAAGAGGTTGGTTCAAGTTAACTCCCCTCTACTTAACGGTTTACTTTGAGGTTAATATACTTTAATTTTTTTATTAAATTTTTCAGGAAATAAAAAAAATGGACGCTGAGCAAATAGCAGCTAAGGAAGCTGAAGAACTCCAGAAAGAAAGGCGAGAAATGCAACAAAAACTTAAATCCCAAGAAAAGAAAGTTGACTATTTTGAAAGAGCCAAGAGACTCGAGGAAATACCACTCCTTCAACAGAGTTTTAGGGATAAACAGGTAAAGCTTAATTCTCGTCAATATTTTTAAATTTAATTTTCATTAATTTAGCCGGAAATTTAATTTATAAGAGACATTTTGTTTAATTTTAGGTTGAAGAGAAAACTCTGTGGGAAGAGCAAGAAGCTCGAAGAATTGCTGAATTAGTTCAAGAAAGAGAGAAAGCAGTCGAGACTCGCAAGAGAATGGCTAGAATGAAGGCAGATAAAGATGCATTCTTAGAGAAACTTTTTGCTGCTCGCAATAAGATTTATCAGGTTATTATTATTAATTTATTTATTATATATTATAAATATAACATATATTATCTTTATTTTTTATCATTTTTCTGACATTATTTGATTGATTAAAATTATTATATTTAATTTAATGATTACCAGAAAAAAATATATTTCATGTGTTAATTTATGCATTTATTTATTTCCTTAGGAGAAGAGAAGTGAATATGAAAAGAAAATATCAGAAGAAAGAAAGAAACGTCTCGCTGAAAGAAGGGAACTGAGGATAAAGGAAAGGAAAGAGACCTGGGAGAAAGAGAGAGAAGAAGAAAGGATAAGGAAGGAAGAAGAAGAGGAGAAGCAAAGGATTGAAGATGAAAGGATTCGAAAAGAAGAGGAAGAGGCACAAAAGAAAGCAGAAAAACTCGAAGAGGAGAGGTCAGTTCTTAACTTTATCCATATAATTAATAATAATTATATTATTACTGTTTTGCCCGTTTTGTTGATACATTGCTTTAGGTGTTTACTAAATGCGTGACATAATAGAATGTGATTATGATTTATTTTTGTTATATTCTACTACAGTGGAAAGTCATTGTGTGTCTCCAATTTTCCTCATCCAATGTTGGTTTGATAGTTATTGAAATGTCTTTCTCAGATGAATCTAAAATTGATGAATCGTGAACTAATATTCTTTTAATTTTTTGAATAGTTGAATACTTAAAATCAAAGGCTTGATATTCCTTGATGTTTTAGGAAACGTAACGAAGCATTGAAGAGACAGGCTGAGATTCAGAGGAAAAGGGAAGAAGAGGCTATTAAAAAACAAGAAGAGAAAGAAAAAGCTCTTCTCCAACAGCAGAAGCAATGGGCTGGAGCCAGCGCAGCTTCTGAAAAGGAAAAGCCTGCTGGCCCGTGGAGGCCAAGTAAGTCATTATCTAACTTCTTAAATATTATTTTAAAAAGTAAAATGAAATAAAAAAAACTAATCAGAAATATTGTCATTTTAGCTCGCTTGCGAACAGAACCTGATAGTAAGCCTGCAGAAAAAGAAAAGGGTCCGGAACCAGCAGCCGCTCCAGCTTCCTCTTGGAGGCGAAAGGGCGAGGATGATAAGAGAGATGATGATCGAACAGGAGATAGGTTTCCATCGCGCAGAGGTGCTGACGACGACCGTGAAAGGGATAGGTTTGTTAGTAGGAGAGGTGGCGATGATGATAAATTCAGTAGTAGGAGAGGCGGCGAGGACGATAAATTCAGTAGTAGGAGAGGTGGAGATGATGATAAATTCGTTAGTAGGAGAGGTGGCGATGATGATAAGTTTATGAGGCGCGGAGGAGACAGGGACGATGACAGGTTCAGCTCAAGAAGGGATGATGATAGATTCGGCAGGAGAGGAGGGGACGATGATCGTTTTGGCAGGAGGGGAGGAGACGATGATAGGTTTGGAAGAAGAGGGGGAGATGACGACCGTTTCGGAAGGAGAGGAGATGATGACAGATTTGGAAGGAGGGGTGGAGATGATGACAGGTATGGCAGAAGAGGAATGGACCGAGATGATGATCGTTTCAGGAGGGATGCACCTTCGGACAGGAGGCCAGAACCGGTAAGAAATTATGCTATCAAATTTTTAAAATGCATTCAAATTAAACCCTGAAAAAGAAGTTTAAATCTTTAACTTCATCATTGAAGTAAAATAAATTAATTTTTTTTTAAATACTCGTGTACATGGTTTCTAATTTAAGTTTATGAAATTTAATTGATCAAAAACAAAAGTAATATATTCATTTAACAAAACTCTTTGTTTAATATTTTTAAAACCCCCATACCAGACTGAAACGACTAGAAACCGCCTGACGTTTTCGACTACTGCCACTTACTAGACAAACGCTCTAATCTTTCAATCAATTACAAACGACTCATATATATATATATATATATATATATATATATATATATATATATATATATATATATATATATATATATATGATAATAATAAGACCTATTTTGACTTACGGAATTGAGCTTTGGGGCTCCACTGAACCATCGAATTCCTCTCGTATCCAATCATTACAATCCAAAATCCTTCATAGAATCCTCAACGCTCCTTACTTTGTCACAAATGAAATCATCCATAAAGAGCTTAATGTTTCATACGTTTCCGATTTGGCCCAATCCAGATACCTATCCTTCCATAACAAACAGCAGAACCATCCGACTTCTCTTGTTTTAAACCTTGCTTCCTCCTCGATCCCTGATAACCCTCCGAGGCGTCTGAAAAGAAGATGGCCTCGGGACCTTCTAATTGAACTTTAATTTGAGTTCTACCAATGGATAGTTTCTCTTCATGTTGTACATGTCATGTTACCAATGTCACATTTACTTGTTGTGTTTTCCATGTAATATAGTTGTAAATTTCATTAAAATAAAAAAGTCATATGTATGTTGAAATTTAAATAATTCCAGTTGATAATATTGAATTATACAATTTTATTATGTTTTCACAATTAATAATTAAAATATTTCTTTTGTAGTCTAGCGGAGGAAGCTGGAGAAGAGGACCTGCTCCGGCTGAATCGGAACCCCAAGAAGCACCTCCCAGGTACCTATTGATATTTGTTTCATTATATTATAATATAAAATTATTTTAATTTTCAGACTCGTACTTATAATTTAAGTTGCGGAATTCGATTGATATTTGACAATATAAAACAACATATATTTTGAAAAAAAAAAATTAAATATATGTTAATATTTTATTCTAACAGGAGAGCTCCTCAGACCGAAGAGAAAAGTGAAAGCAAATGGAGGCGAAGCGAGCCAGCGCCTCAGAAGCCGAGCCAGCCACCTCCACCTGCTGCTGCTGCTGATAAAGGTATATTTTTTTTACATTAATGTCGTAATTGATTTTTTTTTTAAATTAACTCTTATTTAATTAATTTAATAAAAAAATACGTCTTCCTGTATATTATATTCTTTATTTTTCTCTCTTTTGCGCAACCGGTTGTAAATAACCTAATAAAAGTTTAAATGTAAATAATTTGTTTTTGGCGGTAATTGCGAAAAGCCTTCCGCTTTTATCGGGGAACTAGGTTATTTACACTCGTGATTATTAGAACAAAACCCGGCACTGGATATAGACTTTTTTGAGGGTGTTTAACTGTTGTTGGGAATTCGGGAATCTAATACCTTTTGTGACACTGCGTGACAAATAACAATAAGAACATATATATATATATATGTGATGCATGCCCTGGCCCAGGGAAGTGTTCTTTAATTCTGCTTTTTTAGTTTTCTTCCCGTCTGCCCGATATAAAGGACCACTATAAGTTAGATGGTTACCATTTTTATTATATAATTCATTAAGATTGAATTTTAAATTAGCTTTTACTGGATTATTTGTTTATTGATAAATATTACAATCTGTCTCAATAAAAGACATTTATAATAGAGTTCTGAGAGCACATTCACACCATATTTACAAATTTAAAAAAAAATAAATAAATAAGCTAATTTCAAATAATATAAATCTAAATAAAGAACAAAATAAAATATCATAGTGAAGGAAGAAAATATTAATAATAGTAATAATAGAATAAAAATAAATTAATAAAATAGAATTAAAATTATCTTTTAAAAAAAAAGAAGTAATGAAAATAAACATCTTAGATGCAGGCATACCAATTTACACTAAATTAGGTTTTATTTTTATTTGCAAAACATTTTTATTGTTGTTGTTAATTTTATTATTTTATCAAGCCTTATGAGGGTTTGATAAAAGAATGAAAATGGTTGCGCAAAAGAGAGAATAATAAAGAATGTACAGGAAGACATCTTTTTTATTAAATTAAATTTCAATCTTGTAACATCAAGTCACAATTAAAAGTCTTATTTAATTATTAATTATTTTTTGTGGAAAATAAAATTTATTTTTGTTTGGATGTAAAGGGCTACACCCTCTACTCCTCAGATGAGACATTCATGCTTATTCTTTAGGAAATTTTAATTTGGTAGTTAAAAAATAATATCGCAAATAAAATTATGTTATGCATTAAATAAAGATGGATTAAAGCGTTTTAAACAAATGATTATAATATTAAATTAGGAATTTTGTAATTGACAGTCAAATTAATCGATTCAAAACAAGGAATGTCTGAATGATAGTGTAAATTCATTAAAAATCTAAGCCAAATTCAATAATCTTTTTACAAAATTTATAATGCATCTTTCTCGATATTGTTTTGATATTTATTAAGATTTCCTTAATAACATCATTTAAAATTTATCTAATTAAATTATATAGAGCTAAACTTTATCTATACTGTTTATAACTTGTACTATTCATCTAAAAACAGTACTACAGAAGTTGTTTAAGGTTGGTTAGATATATTGTGTAAGTTTTAGTTGAGATTTTGCTTAACGGTTTTATTTATTTTTTTAATTTCTAGAATTAATCAGTTAAATGTTAATTTTTTTATGTTTTCCGTGCTTCATTGGACTGAATTGTATTAGATAAATGTTTTGGCTCTAAAATCGTAAATATTACTGTTATAATAAAACAAGAAATAGTAGTGTAAAGGAAGGAAAATAAAAAACTAAATAATTAGTATATAATAAGGAGAAAGTATATTATCTTCAACAAAAATAATATTTGATATTTTTCCAACACTCTAGCAAAGATGAAAATGTGGCCTTCTTGACTCGGATAATGAACAAGATTGATAAGAGATGATCATCAGCGTTGAGTTAATTAAAGTTTTTTTTTTATATACAGTGTTTTCTTTCATTTACTTTTTAAATTATTTTTTATTTAGTTTTCTTTTCATTTTTAATCGCCTAAAACATACAGAGGGTGTCACAGTTCTTAATAGTAATACTCTGGTGGGGGATGATTATAGACAAATTTTTCAACAAAAAAATTCATTTGATGCAGTGACCGATTCCGAACGGAAAGAGAATTAAGACCAATTTTTTTTTTGTCTTAAGGTGGTCACGTTTTTTATCAAATAAGAAGGAATTGCTCAAAAGTTGTTTAAAATCATATCAATGACCTAATATCATCTTATTTTTTATTAAGGTTTGTCATATTTTTTTAATTTTTATATTTCATTCCTTAAATTATATTATGGACTCCTCAAAGGAGCTAGTCAGACACTGATTACGGATAGGAGTCCACAATATAATTTAAGGGGTACAATATAAAAAAAAAAATAATAAGATGATATTAGGATGAGATACTGCCATAAGATGTGATCAGAAAGTGGATCCCGAAACGTTATAAAAATAAAGAAAAATTGTTGGGAGAGTAAATGTTATTAAATCTTATTATGTTTCCATGTATTTATTTTTCTCAAACTCTAAGCTTTTAATTAATTAATTATATAGACGAAGTAAACAAAACACTACTCATAGGAACATTGATTTGTTATGAATATTTCAATTCATTTATCGTTTTGTAATAATTTCACTCTTTAATGAAATTGCCTACACCTTGGAGTGTCAGGATTAAGTATACTACTCAATGTATATCCTATATTCATTACATTTTATACCATATAATATATTATGCATATAACATAATACTTCTCTTGTAATATAGTTTACACAAGTTAACGCATTAATTGTTCTCTACTGTAATGAGAGTGATGTATCGGTAACTGATTGACCTAGTTTCAATAGCCTGTGATGAAAATATATTTTTACCTCCAATAGATCCTGATGAACATAATTTGATTATATTTTATTTTCTGAGGCAGCGCATTGCAGTCTTATGGAATTAATTGGTGATTACTGTTTTAGAATTAGTATAATAATTGTTAAAATTAATCTGTTTAGGTGACGAAAGTGGAGACGATGGAAATTGGAAGAAAGTCTCAAGGCGCTAGTATATATTGTGCAGTATATAAAAAAAATTATACCGTTACAATTACGTTAAAAAATGTATAATTGTACTTTAAGTTCATTATTATTCAGCCTGATTTATGATTATTTAAAATATTTTAAACGAGGCTGTTAAAAACGTTTATTGTTTTCTACGATATGTATAACTTCATGCATCCAGAAGTTCTGTAATGGCTATTATTTGTTTATTCTAACATTTCTTTTAAATTAATTGTTTACTATATTGGTGGTTTATATTATACGTGATATGATTGAATTTTGTTTCTTAATTCCTTTTCCTTGTTTCCTATTTAGAAAAAAGAAAAGTATAAATTTTTACAATGATCAGTGGACTCAACATAAGGAATATGTTGTATATTGTAGGAGAGATCGTAGTTAACTATGTATAAATTTTTGAAAAACATTTGTCAGTTTAAAATCTTATTGTTTGTATTAATTATCTTGTGTTAAAACAATTGTCTTTACAGGGATAATAAGGTCATAGAATTATTTTTAAAATCCCTTGTATTAACAAAAGATAATTTTGTATTGATTTTTACTTTCACTTACATACATATGTAATATACAGTAAGTGTAAGTATTGCGATCATGAAAATTTTTTAATCTGAGTTTTCAATGGAAATACATGTTTTGAGGTCCCCTCAGTCCAAATAACCAAGCCAGCAAAATGGTCTGTGTGTGTTAACAGTCTAGCTCAAAAAGGAAAAGTCTTACGGAACTGAAATTCCGTATTTAAGGTTTTTATATGGTAGAGATGTTATAGCAACTTTTTCACCAAAATCGGCTAACCGGAAGTGGCACTTAATATCATGGACTAAACACATTTTTACGATTATCTCGAAACCCGCTCTAACAATTTTTATTAAATTCATCATATCAGTGTAAAATTAAGCAGTTTTAAATAAAATATGGTTATTATTCTGATTGATGTTCTCTAACAGGGCTTAAATGGCTAATTTTCAATATTAGCTTCCTCTAAAGTGCCTATAATTTTTTTATTTGAAACCATTGACCATTTCACATTAATTTCCAATATCCAAAATGGATAAATATAAATTATGAAAGAATTTGATGAATAACTAAAGGAGAAATAAGAGATCGTAACGGAGAATAGTTGTAATTGAGGAAGTACACTCAAGCTCCCCGAAAGATTAGAACACGCTTCCATATGTATTAATGTAATATGGACTCCGACAATATTATATAAATATACATATGTGGTTTTTATAAATGTTATTTTTCATATTATTTAATATTTAATTGTATAGATTACAGCGATATAAATATTAAAATTTGTATATATGAGGGTACTCATACAAATAAAAATAGCCACAATGAAATATAAATAAATAGAGTCTATAATTTTTACTTTCACTTCGCTTTGTCTGAAAATACTTATTTCTGCTAAGAAGAGGATGGATGGTAAGTGAAAGTTGTGTGATGCGTGCACCGCGCCAGATTTTGTTAAATATAATAGAGTAAAAACTGAAGAAAAATATATAATTGTAATATTTCAAAAACTAAGCTTCACTTAAGTATGTGTTGAAATGTGTTATTTGTGCTTTAGCAGTATGCATTTATGTGATCCTCTCTTATCCTTTCCTGAAGATGACTGATTATCAAAACAGTTAGTTAATTATGTGCTGGAATTACGACGATAAACTAATCACGTGATAAGGATGAGTCCCAAAGAAATTTCACAGAAGGTAATTAATAAAAAGATGTTTGAAAACAGCTGAGTTCAACCAAAACCATAATGGGAAAATTCAGTGGCCACTCCTGCTAACCAGCTGTTTGTGCAAAAGGTGATATTATCTGTTATTTTGGAAAACAGAGGGAAACAAAATATGAAATAATACTAATAAATAAAGAAATAATCAGTTTTTAATGCTCTTCTGTAAAATACTATATTTTCACAAACGATCTTTTGCACTAACAGTAGCAATATATGGTGACATTAATTGAAAGGAAGCAACATCGAAAATATCAGTCATTAAGGGCACAAGCCAAGTTTCTACTTAAGAAATACTCCAACAAAAAAAATTCTCATAAAGAAAAGATAGTTTATGGATAGAATATATTTGAACTAAGAACTATGGTTCCAATAACAGAAAACCTATGTTGTCCCTTGATGCTAACGAGTATTGTAAAAAATTTACTGAAGAGTCACGTTTAACAAAAAGTAGCTCTTAACTCTATAAAGAAAAAACATGTACCACTGATAATCCATGAAGAATTAACACTATAGTACAGTAAAAATAGTGTTAGAGGGTCAACTAACTAAAAGAAAAATTATTCTTGTTATAAATGGTAAATAATATAATTCTAATCTACATACCTACTATGATTGAAGACAACTATAAAAAATCAAGTGTGGTATCAAATTATAGGGAATTCATGTTAAAAAAGAATGTGGCATTGGTTTAAAAAAAAGTGATCGTAAAACTGAAAACGCTTACAATAGAAAATATTTTTATTATTTTTTGAAATATATTTTTCACTTTAATGTTGCTCATATTTTTTAATAAAACAACAAAATATATAATCTGAAAAACTTATACTATATATCATTTTAGTGCAGTCTACCAAATAACTTTCAGTAAAAGTTGTTTTTTCAAGGAAATCTTATTTAATTGGGCTTCCATTTTGGATTTTTCTAAGTAAGATTCAGTCAATATTGGCGGTAAATTTATTGTATGCCATCTAAATCTGCTTCTTTGTCTAGAGCAATTTGTTCTAAGCAAAATTTCTTCTAAAAAATAATTTGTTATAGGTTGTTTGTCTTCCACACAAAATGCAGTGTAATACCATATTTCCTACTTCAAGAGCATTTGCAGGTTTCTATTTGGATAAAAATCTTAATATACAATACCCTATTCAATTCAAATTGTGAGTTGAATTTCAATTAATCTGAGCTGATGGAGCATAGCATTGGACATCCAGTTAAATATGATTAAATGTGCTTACCAAACTATTTAAACCATGTACTGTAATAAAATGAAATGTAGCCAATATGGAGATTCCTATGAAAGGAACGTACTTGTAGATAGAAGATATGTTTGTTTCAAATGAAAATCAATAAGAAATTTAATTTTACTGAGGCAAACCCATTTATTTTGTAAGATATTCAAATCATATTTTGTTTAAATTTAGATTTTCACTATAAAAAATCAAATTAATTTTTTGGTTTATTATTTTCAATAATAATTAGATTTAAAATTAGAGGTCATCCGAGGATGATCCTTCTTCATCGACATTACTATCTGCCTTTTACTTTCAAAATGGCAACCGAAAAACCTGCTATAGTCTGCAGCTCCTAAACGAATCAACAGATTTCAATGAAACTTGACTAAACTCTTCTTCTTGATGCACTTTAAATTTATCTATATAGCATACTTCAACGAAAAGAAACTGGAAAAAGTTACGAGGGACGGTAAAATTAGATTCCGAAAAACTCAAAAGTATACACTTTTTTTGTTTACGAAATTTCCTAAAAAACAATTGTTAAAATCGGACTATCAGGAGCAAAGATATGGTCTTCAGATGTTTTTTATGTTCTACTGCAAATCCTTTGTTTTGGATTTTGATTTTTGTATGTGTTACTGAAGTAATGCTATTTTTTTTAGAAAATTACTAATGATGAAAAAAATGTTTGGGCAAATAATTATAATTAACTTTTTATTTCTTTTATTTTGTCACTAGAAAGGTAATGTTACTTTAGATGTATAATTGTTGGGAAATAATAAACTACTGTAAAATAACTTCCAGCATTTTTTTTTTTTTTTTTATGTATGTTTTCAAGATGGCAGAAAAAAAAAATGAGAGTATCGATGTATATTTTTAGTGTGTTGATTAGCAACATGGTACTGACCATTTGGAACAAGAATAAGTTTTTTTCAAATTTATTTCCTCCACAAGTTATTTTTTCACTTAATTCTGCACTCCTAATGGTTCATATTGGCATTATATTATAGTATCAAGGTATAGGAATAAATCTTATCTTTTTATTTAAAACAATCAGAAACCAATATATTTCAATAATTACATGAAATATCCATTTTATGATAAACATGTTTTTAATACTTATCATTCATATTATTGTAAAATTTCTACTCAAAAGTTTTTATGAGTATCATTTATTGATTTTTGAATCTTCCTTTTAATTTTACAATACTATACATTTTGGAAGATTTTTATTGCACTAATTTTCACAAGAGGATTTTTTTACATCTAAACATAAAGGAATTTGTTTTGTTTTTTATAGAATAGGTACACCAGTTACATTTTAGTAACTACTATGTTTCTTAGTTATGAACAGGATATTCAATGTTTATACATATATTACCGTAAGTGAAAAAAATAAAGTTGTTCAAGCTTTATGAAAAATTAAAAGATATCTTTTGTTTTGGAATGAATTCAGGACATGTAGAAATGTTGGCCATTAATAAATTGTTTATTATAAATGGCCCTTTATTTATAATTTGTAAATAAAATGAATGTTTCAATCCTGAAAAGTAACTGGTATTCCTATTCTAAAAAGGACCTAAGAATTTCACTTAGTTTCTACAGGTACAGGAGATACAAAGCAAAATTATTTATGAAATGCATTTTACTCCTATCTAATCAGTAAATGGTGTAAAATTTATCACAAATACCATTCCTCGATCATTTACTACTAAGGAGTAATGATTATTACTTTTAAAGTAGATGTCACATTAGTTAATTCTTTTTTGTTCACCTTAGTGAGATAAAATAACATTAAACAACATATCTAATAGAATTGTAATAATAAAAAGAAAAAAAAATTATAAAAATATATAATAGAACATTTAATTAATAAATGCGTTGCCTATTGAGAACAATCTAAAGAATAGAACGGTATAACATCAACGACACTAAAAATCTGTATGAGAAAACAAAATAAAGAAACATAAGGCTAGTCCTTTTAACTTATACATAATCACAGAGAGCATTGAATATTGAGCAACAAAAGTCAATTTGATGTCGAAGAAGGGGGAGCCATCCTTGCCGTCTTTCTCGTCTTCCTGTCCTCCTCATCATCTTCTACTTCATCTATAAGTCTGAGGATCCCTTGTTTGAAAATTCTCTTCTGCCGTGGGCTGAAGTTAGCTATGTCTGGAAGAATACTTTTGAAGAATTCCAGATCAGGATTCGAAGCTTGTTGCTGAAATAAACATATGAGAAATCAATGCTTCAAAGTTGTATGTAGTAATGATTTGTTTTAAAAAATAAA